TAAGCCGTGGGAGACCACGGTCTGACCGCGGTCGAACCACGGCTCGACCACAAGAAATCGATTCGGGTCGAAGTTAGCGAGATACATGTTGTATAGTGAGCACTGATTATCCGACGTCCGAATTTCGTAATGAATTTAACATACAGTTTTCGATAGGCCAGTATAAAAGTTTGAATCGTCATATTGTTAAATGTTTCGAGTGAAATGTAAAATGTTCCTTGTTTAGATGTTTGCAAGGTAATGGATAGTAGCAATAACAAATGTTACATATGACTTGATATGTTCCTGGAGTTTTCATGTTTTTCTGAAACCTCGCCAGTATAATTCAGGTTTTCGAAAAATACCTAGTTTAGATGATGTGACTGTCTCATGTTATAGTCAATATTATCTTGTACCATGAAAATGAAAACATTATGTGAACAAAATAAGTCTCAGAAACATACCGTCTACATATAAAAGTACAAAATATGTTTCTTTGTATAATCACATGTGATTTAATTGCCTATAAATAGATAAGATTAATAAACTGATTCATTAAAATAATAATTATATTTATCATTGCATTCAAAATTCACTTATTGTTGCATATTACGCTTAAATGTTTTGTATAGTTGACAGTGTTGTATTATGATAATTAAAATGGTGTACATAATTTCTCAGAATAAAGATTACAAACGCCTAAAGCATTTAGGGGATCGAAGATGATAACTTTTTACCAATGAGCATATGGGGAGATATCTCAAATTGCCGAGTTACGGTACTCATATGTGTCATTTTCCACTAATTGGTAGACGATTCGTCTTTCGCCGTATTGAATAGATACAGGAAATCTCTGAAGAACACCAGTGCGCGATGAGTTGCACCACACTAACACACATGTCGAGGGACTGGTCGGGAGCTTAGAGCTCGTCCCAGCTGGGACGGTGCCCCGCTGGAGGAAGATACCTGGCTAGGGAAAATCTTGCTATCCGATGGGAGGTCGGCACAGGATCTAGCGATCCAGCGGCTAAAGATCACCGCCACCACCACCTCCTGAGAAAAACATGCACTACACTTACGGATGATGATCTTAGTAGCGGACTCTCCAGAAATAACAATCATATGTGTAACTTTCTTATTTTAAATTCCCTACATGTTCATTGGAAAATGTTTATAATCTTTGCCTTCGTATTTGCCCTAGAAGTCGGTAATATGTATTGAGAGTCCTCGTGTAATTAGGCACTAACAATTTGAAAATTTTTGCTAGGAGATATGAGATTTTTTAAAAGTTTAGTGTGTCTTAGTTATATTCGTAATGCAATTTTTAAATGAGCAGAATTCGACATCGGATCATTCATCTTACTTTTAAACTTTGATTAACCCAATACTCGATTTTGATCTCGATACGAATTTTCATTACCCCAATATTACTCAATTCAACTTTCAAGTTAAATTAGCATCTTTCTTAAGTTATTATTTTTTTTATACAGGAAACAAAATTCACCTCGAATTTGAAGAATGTGTGCTATCGTTTTGAATGTTCCTATATTTGAAGCTTTCTACATGAATATTACACACAAAAGAGGTACGCATTTTGAAGTTATGAAATGAATTCTGAAAATACGTAATTACGTTCATTATTGTTCAAAATTGCGTTGTCGCGCAGAGAAATCTCTAAAATTCAGAATGAGTAAAGAACATAAGAAAGTGTTAGGTCAGTATTCTAGAAAAGAAATTAATGCGTATTGGTCAGGTTCAAAGAATTGGAAGCAGATTCAAAAGAATAAAGAATTAATAGTAAGGAATACACGATGAAATGTTAAAAACCTATTACGTCCAGTTAATAACGTTCGTTCAAAAAACTTAAAAAATATGAGTTACTCTAAAAATTCTAAATAGGAAATGAAAAAATTCATAACATTCGATTGCGACAAAAACACAGGTTATCATGACTGTTTTCGGTTACTAAAATGCTGCTTTAGATGACATCATACATAATGAGGTCATCATACATAACTGGTCATCATACATAATGAGGTAGAGGAAGTCATAAAGGATTATGCTAAGATGAATTGAAATGACTCTGAGAACATGTGACTGAATGAAAATGAAACAAATGACTGAAACCTAATGCTTAGCGGCCAAGTCAGGTAACAAAATGTTAGGTGGAGTAACAGAGTACCTACATGAGATGACATCGAGTTCAATTTTTTTTTTTTTGACAATGAAGGCCGCATTGGATGACGTCGAGGTCACATATTTGTCGCAGAAATTCGATCGAAGTCATGGGAGTTATGACATTTATTGTCATAAGCGCGTGGGATGACGTAAAAGCCACATTAAATGTTTTGTAAACGACTGGTTTGGAGTGCAAAGTAGATTTCGAACTCAAACCGCATTGAAAATGAGCCAGCAGAATTCTTTAATGTCACATGTAACATAAATTATTCCACAGAGAAGTAAAATACGAGCGCGTAGTGTAAATGGGATCATGTGAGAAGCAGCATCTCCACGGAGATATTCTTAGAGAATACTTTAAATCACACCACACACAGAGATAGATTAGATTATACAGTCCCCAAGGGCATATACCTAAACTATTCTACTCTCTGGTGAAGGAGACAGTTTTAACGAGTGTTAGAGGATATAAGGAAACAAGTTGTAGGATCATTTTCAAAGACCCAATGTGACGTAACAACACGGATCGAGAACACTAAAAAAGTAAAATACCGTAGAGGACACGAATGTTGGCAGAGGGGAATAATAAAGGTACAGCGACGATTTCTCTGTTCTCTAGTTTCCAGGACATGTTGGAAGTTTCAGGTCAAGGGCGATATGAAAACGAGTTGTCAGGACTTAGCCGCCAAAAAATGTTGAATATCGTCGAGATTACAAAACACGGAGGATAGCGTAGACTCTACGACATACAGAAATTACGAGTTGTCAGGACACGTAACCACGAAGGTTAGCATATGAAGTATGTTAGGAAACATAGCGTAGGGAAAATAATATGAAGAAACGGCGAGATATCAGAACATGTCGAGTTAAGTCGAGTGAAGAAAATATGGCATGGTACAGATGACCAAAAAGGTATACATGAAGGAACGAATAGCCAGGTCATGATGAAACGTTCAATACGAGAGAGTTCAACGACGAATTGCCAGAACACGTGACAGTGACCCGTCAGATGCTATAGTGAACTCTAAACATGAACAATAGTGAAGAGGCTAGGATATGCCTGAGGAGATGTCGTGCTAGCTACTACTGGTATGGTGGATATAAAAAATGGAGATTAGTTTTGTACAATTAGGCGTTACGATATGAGACGTCGGGACATATGTAATCCTTTATATAGACAGTCAGGAATAACTATGATGATCATTGATTTAACACACGACAAGGATGGTATAGAGGCAATGATGTTGAAGGATCAACGAGTTCGTAGGACGAGTACGGTAGATACAAAGAATAGAGCTGAAAAATCATCATTAACAAATTACTTGGTAGGTTAGTTTGAAACCACCCTATAGAAGGAGACGAACAAGCAGAGAGTAAGAAAGAAAGCGGTAATTAGGACGTCGACAACTAGTTACCAGATCACGTGATCGCGAAGAATGTAACGTTTTGTAAAGACACTAGACAAGAAGGACAGCTTAGGAGATAAGATGTGAAGAAACGACTAATTTTAAGGAAGCTATTTTATTTTCTCAAATAATTGGAATGAAAATTAGCCATTAGGGTAGGAGTTATCTGGCAATATTTGCGACCTCCGCGTTGAGAGGAAGCTAGGAGGGCGACGAGTTCTAGAGGTTGTATCCGTCATGATGCGCGTTGATACAGAACATGCTGCAAAGAATGCAGATGGAATTTAAACATTAAAGAATGTGTTACAGATTCTGTTGAACCCTACCGGTCGAGAGAGAATGACAGAGAGAGAGTGGTAGAAGAACGATGTCGACGATGACATGTTAGAACACGTGTTCGGTTAGCAATGTAACATGTTGTAAAGCACACTAGGCAAAGAGGATAGAATATGAATGAACGACTAGTTTTCAGGACGCGCATGAATGCTGTAGGCGCAAAGAATGAGGTTGAAAGTTAGTCATTAGGGAACGAGTTAAGCTGCCATGTTTTCGATCTTCACGTCGAGAGTATTCTATGTCAGCGACACGATGTAGAGATCGTATCGGTCAGACTGCGTCTTGATTCGGAAGATTCAAAGAATAGAGAGTAAATTTAAACATTAAAGAACGCATTGTCGCATTGTCGAGAGAGAGCGACGGACAGACTGAAAGAGTGACAGAGATAGGGTGGTAGGTCTGCAACATCGGCGATGACAAGTTGCCAGAATATGCGATCGCATAGTGATGAAACATGTAGAGATCAGTAAGCAAGAATGATAGCAGAGAGGTGAAAGGATAGTTTTCAGACGCGTATGCATTCTATTGTCTCCAATAATTGGGTTGAAAACTAGCGATTGGGGAGCGAGTTATCCAGCTTTGTTTTCGATCTTCGCGTGGAGAGTACGATAGGACGACGAGTTGTCGAGTCCGTCGCTTAGCAGCTATAGTAAACAGGGAGCGCCACTTGCGGCTGGGGCTGCGAGTGCGTCGGCGGCGGAGGAGGAGGAGGCGGAGGCGGCGGCGGGGGACGCGATGGGCCCCCTGCCCCGCTGAGCGCGCGCGTGCGTGCGTCTGTAAGCAGGCACGCGGAAGGCGCGCGCCCCTGCGCGGAGTGGCTGGCCTGAGAGGTGAGCCCGGGAGACGACGCTTCGTCACCCCCGCCCCACCCGCGCTCGAGCGATAGGACCAGCCGCTTGCAACGCATGGCCGGCGACCCGACCCACGTTCTCCCATAGGCTTACCCTCTACTCCTGATCACCCGACCCGCTCCCTACTTCCACTGCTGATCACCCGTCCACGCTCCCTCCTTCTACTTCTGATCACCCGTCCACGCTCCTTCCTTTTACTACTGATCACCCGTCCACGCTCCTTCCATTTAGTATTGGTCACCCGACTAAGGTCCCTCGTTCTACTCCAGACCACTCGTCCACGCTCCCTCCTATTTCTGATCACCCGTCCACGCTCCCTCCTTCTACTTCTGATCACCCGTCCACGCCCGTTCCTTTTACTACTGATCACCCGTCCACGCCCCCTACTTCTACTAATGATCACCCGACTAACGTCCCTCCTTCTACTCCAGACCACCCGTCCATGCTCCCTTGCTCTACTACTGATCACCCGTCCCCGCTCCCTTCTACTGATCACCCATACACTCTCAATTTTACTACTAATCATCCGTGCACTCTCCCCCTTCTACTGAACACCCGTCTACACTCTAACCTCCTACTGATCACCCATACACGCTTCCTTCTACTGATCACATGTCCAACTTAATCCTACTACTGATCACCCAAGCACTCTCCTTCTTTCTACTGATAACCCGTTCATTTTCTCTCCTACTTCTGATCACCCAGCTACGCTCCATCCCCCTACTACTGATTATCCGTCCCTCATACTACTTAACCGTCCACGCTCCCCCCTACTCCTTGTCACCCGTGCACGCTCCCTCATAATGATTATCTGTCCATGCTCCCTCCCACTTCAGAACACCCAACCACGTTCCCTCCTTCTATTATCGATCACCTCCTTCTACTACTGCTGATCACACAACCCCTCCGCTTCTTCACTTTATAACCCGATCGGTCTGTTCTCGCGCGCTGTCCCTTTACTCGTGATCACCCGAGCCACCCTCTTCTTCACATCGTTTCTACTCTATCATTTGGCTGGCCTCCCTGGCTCTTTCTGCCTCATGCTCTCTCCCCTGATCCCCCGACTTCATACTTTCCCCCACTATGTGATCATCCAGCCCGCTCTTCTTCTCGCTCCCCTCCCCTGATCACCCAATCCAGTCTCTCTCCATCACCTTTGCTCTTTTCCAAAAATACCTCGTCAAGCGATGCACTCACTTCACCGGCCCAATATAAAAGATGAATAGATAGCCTGCACGTGACTTGCGCAAAGTTCATTCACCAAGTCTTTTCATGTGGTGCACGTGGGATTCAAAATAAAATATGAACGCCATAATGGATCTCAAAATTTAAAGAAGCATACCGTCGCAACCTATAAATAACAGATTTATTTAATCTCCGCTAACGTTTTAGTCAATAGACCGGCTTGATGATTGATGATTCAGCCGCCATCATTAGATCATAAAATCGAATGTAGAATTCCATGCGGCTGCTCTGATAATGGGTTAATTATTTTATAATGAGCTTTGATGGGGCGCAGTAATATTGGATTCAAAATTACTGAGCTAAATTCCAATAGCTTTTTTTAAAAAAATCGTTAATTCTCACACGTAGTAAACTTTTATATTATTTGTTTTCAATATCAAATCTATTGATATTTAATGTTAAACGTTGAAGTACGTAGGATTTAGAGGCATAAAATGATTAATTAGCCGTAATTAAATTTTAATCCGCTCTTCGTTTTGGAAATAAAAAACCCTCCCTAATATATATCGTATATTAAACAGGTAAAAAGGTCATTTATAAAAAGGTATTTCATTGTGCATTTTCAAAAATAACGCCAATTATTCTTATGGGTTTAACCATACGATAATATCTGCTTTATGATACCTCGCTGTTTTACTCCTCACACAAAATTATATACTTATATTGTTTGAAAAATACTTCTGCTTTACAACACGTAGATTTTTTTGCGACATCAGTGTTGTCAATGTAATATTCGTAATACACTTAAGTATCAGAAATTGTGCCCATATTTCGAAGATCTGTTGAGTGCATCGTCTTTCCTTCCTTTCCTTAATGAATTAGTTTCACGGTCTAGTCACTGTCGAAGGCAATAACAGCTTTAAAATACATTATGCCATTTTTCGCTAAAAGCTAGAATCTATAGAATTTGTTTCTCATGTAATTAGGTAGTCATCCAAGGATTCCATGTTGAATATCCCCTTAGCTTAGAAGCTTACGCATCGTCAATAAACTTTATTTTCCACACGATAGTAACACGTCATTGATGATTTTCATATTGGCACCTAGGAGTTGCACGAAATATTTTGTTCTAACGTTAAGACAATAAACAAACATGTTCAGTATAAAAAACTATTTCAGACTGATTTGTCTTAGTGGCACTGATATTGTGCATAAACATACAAATTGTACCATCTTCCAGCTTCTTTTAACTGAAGGAATTGATCTATGTAATGTAATCTAATGTTTCTTGTTCAATATTATACAATTATATTTCAGTGATTTTATATGTTCGGTATCACATTATTTGGACGAGAAAAAATTTAAAATATTACGAATTGATACCATACATGCACATCCTTCCCAATTTCTCCCCTAGAATAATGAAGACAGATAAATGCCAGCTTTGTTTTGGTAAGTAGTAATTTCCAACTAGCAAACGTACAAGCTTTCATCAGATGTTGTTTATAATTTGTAGTTGTAGTACATAGTTTTTCAGTTATACCTGTTATTATTATGCAGAAAGTGTAATTTTTATTAATTTAGTACCTTAGTTCGTAGAAAGTTGTTGAGATACTTAGTTTTTTTTTAAGTTAGCTAGTAAAAATAATCTCAATCACCACATATTACCATGTTTTATTTTTAATTCAATATGTAAGTGTAACCTATTTATATGTTTTTTCAAATACTTATTGAATTAAAGGCAATAAAGAGCAGCAAGAAAGACGAACCAAAACTATTTTGCCACTCTTTGTGTGGTCATAATGACATAATTGTCTCATTCCTCTGCCAAAAATATAGATGTCATTTACTGTATGGTCCACCTCGATCCGTTTTCTTTTTATTTTCATATTTCATATCCCGAATACCACATATTTTACTTTTATTACATTCAATTACGTTGTCAAAAAGATATATTATTTTATGTATTTCACTTTCTCTTTTGTAAATGTTGGCCTGATACAGTTAGCACAAATATTTTAGCACATAATTTAGTTAATAAAATTAAAATATTAAATTAACTAACTTATTTCAATTGTATTCAACTACATGTATTGCGTTTTCGCTCCAACTTGAACGATTCTATATCTTTGCTTTTTTTGTTGCATACAGTTCTCCTTTTCTTTCGCATTTTTATTTCGCCAGCATTTCATGCTTCTTTGATTAAAACTTTGCAAAATATATTTTTACGTTTTTACTAATCTATTCTTTTGTTCGTTTTGTCGAAACGTACTGCAGAGATTTTTTGTTCTTATTTCATCTCTTTTTCCTGTCCATTATGTTGAAGTGATGCAGGAATGTTTGCATTTTATTTAATATTTTTTTTTTGTTTTCGTTTCGTTAAAGCATTGAAGGAATGTTTAATTGTGTTACATTTACATTCTTTAGTCCATTTTATTGAAATGTTGCAGGGTTTAATGATATTTTATTTCACTTGTTTATGGGGATCATTGCTAGACGTTTTGGAAGGATTTTTATATTATGTTACGTATCAAGTGACTTATGTCCAGCAACAATTTGGGCACTAGTGGGTGCCCGCGATCATGATTATTTCCAATACAATTTTAGCTGCCACTGGTTTCCACTTACCCCGTGTCGTTATCCCTTTTCCTCACACTTGAGAACTGTCAAAATATACTTTAAGTTCCAGTAAAAAGAAAGTGTATTGTTCAAAAGTTCTGGATGGCGAAGGTTTCGGCAAACTTTTACCTACACCACTTCTGCGAATATTTTGTTCGGTATTCTCCAATTCTTAAATTAAGTAAAACCTTCCCCATGGTTTCGCCAATCTTCTAAGACACTATTAATTAAGTATATTAACAAGAGTTTGACTTTAAATATTACAACATAATCGTCATGCGGCTATCTCTTTCGAAGTCTCACCAGCTCCCCCTCTAAGCAACAAACTTGTCTCCGTAGCAACCCATTACGTTATTCAATTGTTCGCTCTCTTACACCCTCGACCAAGTTGTATTTTTATTTCGTACCATGTCGTAGAACGTGGTCGCCGGGCCTGCCCTCGCGCCGGGAGCGGTGGGGCGCGTGTGACGGCGAGGGGCGTCGGGTGTTGCAGGAACAGCGCGGGCGCCGACCCGTGGGACGCTGCGGAGGCGGACGCCGAGGCCGAGGCTGCGGCCGGGGCCGCGGGCGCCGACGCCGACGACGAGGACGACGACCCCGTGGTGGAGCGGCAGTCCTCGCCCGCCCAGGTCAGCCCCAGCGCCCGACACGCCCGCCC